AGCTCAAATTACACTTAGGTAAGGAATTTTGGGTTCCAAAATCTCTTCCTCATCCTTCTTCGGGCGGAAGAGGTCTCATTTAACATTTAAAGTCCGAACGACCATAGGTGTACTCGAAGGCTTCTCTTTATCCTCATTAAAATGATGCAACTCCTTCTGGATGTAGTTCGATTAATGTACTAGGATTCCATCCGAACAATGCTCGATCTTTAGGCAGAGGCAATATCGAGTTTTCCTAAGATCTTTCATCTTATCGTCGCCATCGCAATCCTCCACTAGTCATTTGATAAAAACCCATTTTGTCGTTTTGTTAAGGATTTTTGCATCATGAGTCTGACCACCAAGATGAACTCCATTTTCTTGGCGTGTTGTATTTGTGGCTTTAGGTGTTACGACAGCAGGAGAATTATGTGCCTGTGACAAACCATCTTGTCCTAGGCTCTGGACTATAAGTAAAAGATTAGTCATTCACTTACCCATGACTGTTTTCTTTTTTTACTGACTGTGTTTCAATGGTCATGAATTTCGTAGCTTTAGCATGGGTCTCAATGGGCATGCCAAAATGTTAACCCTAAAAACTACCAAGCCTACGTGGCATGTAAGCTGAGTAACTAATAAACTAACTATGTCATTAGATTATGTGTGGGGTGTGCCAACTCGTCTGTCGAGTTTGGCAGGGGAGTAAAATATGTTGATGTGGCATTAGGTGTGCTATTGACTTCTTGAGCGTGCGATTACGGCCAAGGAAGGAACATGTCTCGTCTTTCGAATTCTAAACCCTGAAGACAATGCTGCAAGTTCTGCGAAGTTCAATTTCAAATTCGATTTTTAATGTGTTGAATGTAGTAACCTGGTAACACCTCACTTCATCGAGAAGGCTAATGAGATGACCTCTACCAATGAGGACTCGGAAATCCTTGTTGACCGAGACTTGGATAAATAACCAGTGGGTCTCAAAGCAGTGTTGTCTATCCAAACTGAAAGTGCTCATCGGTTGGCTGATTTTACAGCTCTAGTGTTGTTTATCCAAACTAAAGATGTCGCCGGTTGCCTTCACAATGCTGCCTATCCAAACTGAAGATGTGTTGACAAGAAAAAAAGGGAAGAAGAAAAAATCTCAAGGTTGTTGAGAAGCTTTGCGCATGGCAATTTGTGTGTTCATTTGAAAGGGGCTTGAATGATGCACTCCCCTCTCTATTTATAGTTGCGAACCCCCTCATAACCAAACTAGAAATTTACTAGGATTTGAACTTCTCAACCCAATCTGATCATGTTTCGGCCAATTCTAATCTCTATAGGAATTTGAACCAAGCTCCTTAACGAACCATATTCATCCCCTAATCCTAAGCATCCTTAGCTTCAAGACTCTTTGTTGCACTAGGGTTCGACTACCTCGCCCTTATCCAAACCAATCTTCTTCATAATAGGATTCGGCTAACCTTGACTGGATGGCCCATTGACAAGATTCCAAATGAATATTACTGGACCAATAATGACTCTAAGCTGCCCAAACAATATGTCATGATTTATTCGTTTTGAGAAACCTCCTAATTTCATTGCTCTTGGTTGGTTTCACATAAAGTGGAGGCTTGTAGCCTTATACGTATCAGTTGATTTTTAAGAGGGACAAGGATCATCTCCAGATCCTTTTTGTGGGGATCCAGAGATCAATTAATCGTGTCCGTTCATTGTATATCGTGCGGTTAGAAATCATTTTAAATTTTAAATTTTAAATTGAATATAAATAGTACTTAACGAAAACTGACCGCACAATGTATGATGAACATACATGATTGATTGATCACCTGGATCCCCATAAAAAGGATCTGGAGAGGATCTTATTCTCAACAAGGACGGCTTACCTTGTCCTTTTGTTAGCTAGTCTTTTTGGGGTGCTACAAGGGGACGTTGGCACTTAGTGCGACGTCGATGTTACTCTGCCCCTGTGGCCCCCTGTTGTTTATTGTTGATTATGTTTTTGTTTGTCATGGTGTCAGCTTTCTATGTTCTCAATTGGCTTTTGATGAATTTCCAATTTTTTTTAAACAATATTTATTCACCAAAAAAGGCTAGAGCTCGATCTTCAAAGTCCCGCTCAAGTCATTTAAGCTCAAAATATGATTTTTCATATTGTAATTTTTTTTTTTTTGAAGAGAAATGATAGCATTTTATTGAGAAATCATAAATCAAGAAACATCATAAAGGGCCTCCATATTCAAGTCCAGAGGCTCCTCATGCCAACAAAAGTCAATAGAAGAAGAAACAGCCAACTTAGCCATACCATATGCTGCAACATTAGTAGTGCGGTGCACATAACAAACCTACGAATCCACAAAGTCCTGCAAAAGAACATGAATATCATCCACCAAAAGATCCATAAGTGAAGACCCTTAGACTCTGTTACCAATAGCTTGAATCACCTGTAGTGAATCACTCTCCGTCATAATTCGAGCCAAATTTTGATTCGCAGCCTAACGAACACCCTCACGAACAACAAGCATTTCCACCATAGTAGGGTTCGATGCAGGGGATATTTTACGAATAAAACCTCCAGCATAGCTACCAACTTCGTCGCGAAATACTGCACTTACACCTCCCATATTGGATCCAGTATGAAAAGAACCGTGAACATTAATTTTCACCCACCCAGCTGGGGGGGGAGACTTCATCGCAACAACGCCTAATAAGGGTGGGAAGTGGAACCGGGTTTGGTTTCTCAAACTCAGCCAACTGCAACTTAGCAAGGTGATAGACCAAGGACGGATTACTCGCTTTGTTCAACCAAAGCAGTAAGTTCCTAGCACACTAGATACCTTGAAGAATCATGAACAGCAAATTCACTTGGCTTTTGGATAGATGTTCCACACATAGTGACAGCCAATCACACATTGAAACTTGACTCGCAAGCCTTGATCCCACATTCATGAAGAGGAAGCGTATATCGCATAAGCGAATGAACAATCTTTGAACACATGTAGCGTCGACACTAAAGAGGAACTACAGAACAGACATATATTGTCCATAACCATTCCCTTGGTTTCCAGATTAACACGAGTAGGCAAAATATCATAGCAAGCCCTCCATCTTTACTCTACCTGGAATAATCGCCCTTCATATTGCTTTCTACACTGAAGCTCCCCTCCAGTTTGATTGTGATGATGAAGCCTCAAAGCGACAATTAAACGCAACTTTATAAGAACTATTTACAAAGAACAAGCCTTTCGCATCATAATACCATATTAATTTATCAAACAAGAATCTACAGCTTAACGGAGTAGCAAGAATCATTGCAGCCTTATTAGGAGGAAATAATTCATTAACCAAGTTGATGCTCCACAACGCCATTTCCAGAATAATCAAATCAACCACATACTCCACCCCAACAATTGGAGAAGAAGGCATGAGAGGTCAAAAAAGATGGGGATGATCAAGCCACCGATCCTACCATATCCTAATCGAGCTGTTAGTCCCCACCCGCCAACGGGACCCCTTTTTCCAGAATTGATCGTGCTTCCAAGATGCCCCTCCAACACACTGACGGGGAAGATCCTAGTGACGCCTGCTAGAAAGTATTATGAGGAAAGTACTTGGCCTTTATAGCCGAGATGCCAAGGAATCAGGATTCTGAACCAACCGCCACCCTTGCTTGGCAAGAAGCACAAGATTGAAGTCAACGTAACAAATTTTTTTATTACAAGCGAAAATGTCTAATCTAAACTTTATTAAAAAAAAAGGAAAAAGAATTGGAACTCGAACGTAATAAATTGAAAAATAATGCCCTAATTACGAGTGGAATTTGCCACTTGCTTCCATATTGTTAGAATTAAAAAAAATAATTGAACTCGAACGTAATAAATTGAAAAATAATGCCCTAATTACGAGTAGAATTTACCACTTGCTTCCATATTGCAATTCTAACTTAGAAAAATACGGCAAAACCTCTAAAAGTGAGCCACACATGCAAAAAGTTGTAAAAATTTGAATATCATTTAAAATCATATTATTTCTTTCCAAGAACTTGTCCAATCTCCATCCTTTCAACACTCCACAAGAGTAAAAGAACTTGAGGCTCGTTGTGTAAGTTAGATGAGATTGGCCCTTAGAGATAGGGTTAATACGGATTGGTTACGCTTTGAATCCCAATCCATTGTTTGGGAAACACTTAGTTGGGTGAGGTTGAATTGGATTTAAAAAATTCATTTATGTTTTCCAATTTTCATTTATTCAATGCCACATATAATTAATCCAAACAAATAAAAGAACCACATATTTGATAATAAAATGTCATCACAAAAGTACGATTTTTATATTATAACAAAGTCGAAATTAAAAGAGAATCACTTATCCTAGCCAGCTCACCAAACTGGTCCTTCGTGTACAAAAATCCAATTGATATCAATGAAGATCTCATACCGGGGTCTTGTATATTAATCCGGTCCGAAAATAAAAAAGGAAAATATTTTATTTATTTAAAATTTTTGTTTTATGTTATTTAATTAAAATTTAGGTTTCTCTGTTTTAACTTTTAAGGAATTATGTTGACATATCTGATTGGGTTTTGATGTGATAAGATTTCTATCCTAGTTTAGCCTTACTGTATTGCTATTTATACCCCACATTCTATAACGCAACCACAAAATACCGAAATCACCTATCCTAGCTAGCTCATCAACTTGGCCCTTGTGTACAAAAATCCGATTGATTTACTCTCTATATAAAGTGATTGTGACACCACCAATTAATATTGATTAAGATCTCAAACTGGGCTCTTGTAGATTAATCCGGTCCGAAAATCAAAAAGGAAAATATTTTATTTCTTTAGGGATTTTGTTTTATGTCATTTTATTAAAATTTAGGTTTCTTTGTTTTAACTTTTAAGGAATTATGTTGACATAACTCTGATTGGGCTTTTGATGTAATAAGATTTCTATCGTAGTTTAGCCTTCCTGTATTGCTATATATACCCCTTATATTCTATAAACCAACCACAAAAAACCGAAGTCCTAAAGTTTACCCTATTTTTCTGTGCGCACCAGAAAAGAAAAGATGAATAATTCGAACTCTCCTTCAACAAAAGCACTGATATTTCTCGTTCAAATTGTTTGTCTAGTTGTCTTTCTTCCAACTAGCCACTGCAACAGGATGACGGTCTTCTTTCCAATGGATGCCAATCTGATCGCACAAACATGCAACCAAACACCATATCCCGATCTTTGTATCTCTACACTTCAATCAGACCCTCGAAGCGCCAAAGCAGATGTCAAAGGCTTAGGCATCATAATGGTTGATGCAGTTAGGGCTAAGGCACACGAAGCTAATCTCCGGCTCGAGGATCTGATCAATAGAGATGTGGGAAATGTACCCGCACAAGACTGCAGATTTAACTACGACGATATTTTCCAACTTGATATTCCTCAAGCTGTTGAAGCTTTCGGTAAAGATGATTATAAGTCAGCAGAGCTAGGCATGACCAATGTCGTCGCAAACGCAGATTCATGCGAAAAACGTTTTTCCGGCGGTAGTCCTTTCAAAGATGAAAGCCAAGCTCTCCATGATGTTGCTTATGTGGCTGCAGCAATTGCCAAAGTATTGCGCTCTTGATGTATTCTTCTGTTGTCATGATAGAGTAGTAAATTTGATAAAATAATAATCAAGAATAGCATTTCTTGTCAGCGACTTCTCATTTGATGGCGTCAATATTTGATCTATGTGGTCATTTCAATAATTGAAAATTTTAAAATCCCTTTACAATTAGGAATACAATGCCGTATAGGATAAGAGATGTCCATAAATTTTAGGTTGTTCACAAGCTCATGCCACCAAATTCCCAATATAGTGCGTATTATTTTGGTAGACATTTAATTTGTTTATTTTCTTTTGCGGCATCTAAATTGTTTAAGTAACTTTTTGGGAACATTACATATGGAGGCAAAAATATATACAATATTTCAAGGAACCCCTTTGATTTTAAACATTTCGTGGAGAAGCAAACAATAATACCTAAAGCTCAATCTAAAATATGGAAATAATTTTTAAAATACCAGTCATACTCCAAACAAACATGTTTGCTAACATAGCCCAGCCCACACAACTTAAAAAAAATCAACGTGTGTCATCAGCTTAAATCCTCCTTGGTTATTTTTGTAGGTTCATTTTCGAAACTACATGTAGAATCAATTTGTATCCTTTATTTCTATAATTTGTCCAACCCGTCCTTGATTATTTTTGCATGATTAGTTTCAAATACATGTATAATCAATTTTATATACTTTTTAGTCAAATCAATTTCTATAGTTTTAGTAGAACTTTGTAATATGAGAAACGAGTTGAGGTTTGGTGCCATAAATGGACTTGTAGATGCATATATGCTGCTCGAACACAACAATTCACATGAATATTCTCGAACACAAAATTTAAGGGTTTAACTAAAGAAAAGTAAATAACTTGTAAAAATATCTTAAATGACATACATAACCTTGAACACAAATCATGTGCCTCGCACATGACTTATTTTGGATGGAAAACTTAACAGAGTTAGGGTGAGATAATAAATTAATGATTTCAGAAAATTGGTATGACAAATTACTTAAAATTTTAGTTTATATGACAAAGTGAAAAAGGTGCACAAGTTCATATGATATTTCAAAAATTATCCCCACTCTAAAAATTTAATTGTCTATTTTATATTTTTTATATTTAAAAGAAAACATACAGAAAAACAACCAGACTGATAAAATTTTGGTGCAAGTAATAATATCACTCAGTATTAAAAATAGTATAGTCTCTTCAACCCACTACTTTCATACCCATCCCATGATCCCATCCCCTTAGTCCTGCTTAGTGTAATATTGTCGCTTGTTTTAAAAATATAGTACTAATTTTATTTTTTTTTAAATCTCGGTAAATTTATAATTGGTCTGTGATGGCTTCTACATCCACCATCTGTGAGAGAAAATATTTGTGTAGAGATTGTCTTGCCACTGGACTTTGCTGAGTAACATTACAATACACTCAAAACTCACCATATGATAAGTCTTAAATATAATTTTTCATCACTATTCTATTTTCAAATTTTCAAATTTATCTTTTCTACTAATTAATATACACCATCAAATCTATCTAACAGTTTGTATTTTTTTTCCTTCTTCTCATTCCTCTACTTTTTCTCCCCCCCCCCCGGGGCGGGGCCCCCCGCCGCTATTGCAGTCTTCTTCCCACTGTTTCTTCTTTTCTTCGTAAGAATATTAATTGTAAAGGAAGCACCCAACATACCACACATTGCCCTTAAAAACTCCAAAATTTACAATTAAATGAAATTAAAATTCTAATTCAAGACATTTTAGTTTAAATAATTAAAAAATTAAAAATTTAGAAACAAAAAAAAAAATATATATATATCTATATATATAAAGTGAGAGCCCTAGTATATATGTGACGACCCGTCTCAATTTATAGTATGTATTTTATCCCCATGTATGTAAGTGACGTTTATGCCCTCGTTGGCTTGGTGACGTGGACGTATGTATATAGTTTAAATTATTTTCTCGCTGATGTGACTAAATTGTACTCGACGTCACAAGCGTGTTGACGCAAGTTAGGGTCGAATCGGGTTCGTAACGAAAATGTTACGAAGGAATAAGTGAAATTGGGTTGGTTTTATTTCTAGTGGACTCATTTTCTTGAGCCCTAAACATTGTCGCCCAATCAGGGCTTGAGTTTTTTTAAGTGGCCAATCTCGTAAGCCCCACACACACGTGCAACTCTCCCTCATCCTCTACATCTTTCTCGAAAATTCCTTTCGTCTGTACAATCGAGAACACTTACCTTCAAACTAAACCAAAATTCTACGGATCGAGCGTGATGTTTCTAGATTCCTACTCCTCTCGAGCTCTAGACTCTGGTGATACCTTTTGTTTGGTGATTTGACTTCGAAAACCCGAGACTCCATAAACTCTGGCGATGAGCTAAAATACTTTGTCGTGATCGTGGGATTTAGCTAAGGATTTAAGACTCATGGTAGTCCCCATACAACTCCCTTAGCATTGTGGAACAATTTTGGAGTGGCTTGGACGTCGGGACACTCGAGTTTATCGAGTTGTAGACTTAGCCGGAATATCGAAGGATTTTCCGACCAGTTTCCGTCAATTTTAGGACCTCAAAGAGGTATGGTTATGTTCTCCTAGTTGAGAGCTTCAATTCTATATAAAATTTATGAATTTTGGTGTTGAAACGAAGTAGAAACTAAGGTTTTAAGAATTTCCAAAAAACGGCGACACAGACGATGGTCGACGACAGATTCCGATGAGCCACTGGAAAAGGAAGAGAATATTTTGTCAACTTTGATGGAATATACTGACGACGTCAGGTAACACCATTAGTTTTTAGACGGAATATTCTATTATTTAACGTCATTCATTCATTCATACAGGGAAAGGGGGATTGCAGGAAATTAAAGAGTAAGGGAAAGAGGCAATTATGTTCATTCATTCATCCACAGAGCAGCTGCTTACATGCTTATATTCAACTTAAAAGGAAATCCATCTTGAATTGTGTAGCGTCCCTTTGCGACGCTGGAGAGATTGAAATTCGTGTGCTCTAGCTTTCGGGCGACTCTTGATGGCCCCGGTGAGAAAGGATGGAGTCGAGTTTTTTTCTTTTTCTTCTTTTTACTTAAATTAAAAATTAAATTTTAATCCACATGTCATCAAAATATTAGAGTGGGAGGCTCAGGTGCCACATCAGCATACTAAAAGAAGGACGACATTTATTTGCACTACTTATTTTCAGAGACGACATTGATTGATTTTCAAATTCAAGAACAATCTTAATAGACTAGGTCAATTTCAGAGATTATTTGTAATAAAAACCCAAAACAATTTGATACTCTCAATGTATGCCACTACCAATCACTAAGAACCACGTTAAACTATTTTGGTTTTCTATTGGGATTAGGATTCTTTCCCCTACTCTTTTCATCCCCTTCTATCCTCTCCTCTCACATTCTCTATTTTATCTTTCTCTTTCTATAAAAAAAATTAATACAAGATGTTGACGTGGCTTAATTATGACCGTTCAAATAAAAAGGAATGAAAAGAGAAAAAAAAAATAGAAAAGAGAGAATCGTACTCTTTTCCATTGTGAGACATAGCAAAGAGAGTTTTGTACTTCAAGAATTAAACGCATGACACTCGAGCATGCTTACCTTAGAACAGTTTCGGCCCATTCCTGTGCAGTGTGGGTTGTCACGTGTAAAAATCATGCTTATGTCGCTTCTCCCTTTCTTCGGAGGCCATATTCAATACTTGATCAATTGAATTTGAAACTTCTGTGATGTTCCACGGGTTCAATAGAACTGCTCCAGCACCTAAAGACGGGTCCAATATTAATATAAGTTCATTTGTTTTCTTGACATACTCTAAACTATAGATTTATTATTACTCACATCATGGAAAAATCTTAACATTCTCCTACATGAGTATAATTAAACCATACACAACATACATGTTCAAGCAAACGAATGGACTTATATTAATATTGAACTTGTGGTAATTGAATTATGATAAATTACAATGGAGGGAAACAATAGAACTCAAAACTTTTGAATTAGAGTTGGTTTCAAACTCTAAAAACTGACATGTAACTGCTGCCACGATAGGAGGGGCAGTTATCATTTTAGACAATAAATATAATGTTGAGTGCTCTATGCAATTAATCAATGTCACAAATGTTAGGTATGGTTGAGTGGAAAAATTAGGTGCAATTAATGGGTTTTGTGTGGTAGTAAATAATCTTAGTTTAATTAAGTGTGTGGTGTAGCTTTCATTTGGTTTGCTATAAATACCCAAATCCCCAAGCATTGTATATCATCCAAGGAAAAACAAAGCCTAGAGCTAAATAAGAAAAGCTTTGCTAATTAGTTTGTTTTGTGAGCTTTCTTTAAGAGTGTGCTCTATTTTCTTCTTCTTGGGATCATTAGAGTTAACTTGGATACTCTTCTTATTCAACAATTGGTATCTAGAGCCAAGTCGGTCAGGGATCGTTCTTGGTAGAGCATTGGTTGTAAAGTCTCTTGAAATTCCGAGTATGCTCTGTGGTTGCAGTTTTGACTGATCTTCCACATCAGAAAAAATTTCTTGAGATTATTGTTGGGGTTATCACAAACCTTGAGAGGGAGCTTCTTTGTGTCGAGAGTAGTGTATTACTCTGCACGGTAGTCACTCAAGCTTGTTCGGTGTAGTCAAAGTCTTGCCGATACGATGGGTGATCTTCAAGTTGTTGGAGGAATCAAGAAGCTCAACAACCAAAACTATAACACGTGGGCAACGTGTATAGAGTCTTATGATGCGAAATTTATACGCACACAAATTAAACCCTCTTTTTGACAATTGTAGTATAGATATAAGTAGGGATCGTTCTTAACCGGGGATTAGGAGGGATTGCAAATCACTTGGAAACTGACTCAAAAACGTAAAATAAAGTTTAAAACACTAAACTAAACTCAAAGAATGCGAAACTAAACGCTTAAAACACTAAAACAAACCAAAAGACTCAAACATCACCCAAAACACTCAAAACTGCCTTAAAATCACTTTCTGGGCAGTTTTGAGCACGTTGGTGAATTTGGACGAATTTGTGTAACAAATTGAATCAAAACACTTATAAACACAAACTAAGACACTTTCTAACTAATTTGGACAATACAAAGACTCAAAGGACTCAAAACAAGTTCAAAAGACTCAAAACTGCCTAAAAACACT